CCTCCTCCAACACAACCGTCGTGCTTATTCAGATAGTTGCACTATCTTTCATCCCCAGAAACTCTAAAGAGATAATGAGGAATGATACTGCAAGCTAGGGGAGTTGCCATCTATCTGATGGAAAGCTTGATATTTTGGATGGGGGTGTAACAGGCTTACTCCTATCCTGGTTCTCTCCTAATTCCTATCTGCTGAAGGACAGAGATAAAAGATTTAGCTATCTGCTGTATTTTAAGAACTGCTTGTATTGTTACGCTCTAAACTAAAATCTGCTGCTGGCAAAGGGGATGGGATTTCATGGATGCTTTGAGCAAAGGTTTCCTTACAGGTATTGCTAGATTTACGACCTGTGTTAGGTTATGCTGGTGACTGGGGACTTATTCTGAGCTCAGGGCCCTGTTTTGCCTGCTGGAGCACAAACATCAAGTGAAAAGGGTAAAGAAGAGCTAAAGAAGAGCTCACATAGATGTCATCTTCTGCTTGCTTAGGAAGGGAGATAATTGTCTTGAGCATTTCTTCTTTTTCACCGCACAAAAGACAGCCCCCCTGCGTGAGCTGAAGGAGCAGAAAGCGCAGCTCTGCCTAAAGGGAGACAACTGTGGTCATTGGGGAGCAACTGGTCATGGGAATACATGGGAGGTACTTCAGAGGTTGGGGACATGGCCCAGGGAGCCCAGGTCCCCCCCTGTAAATCAGTGCTTGGCTGTTGCGAGAGCAGAAATAAAGCAAAGGAGTAGCAGAACGATGCCTGTCCCGTGAGCAGCCTCAATGAAGGACAGGCAGAAACTGTCCTTGAGAGTGCCTTTATCTCAAGGTTGCAGAGAGTCAGTGGGATGGAGGGGGAAGGGTGTAAAATAGCGCCTGTTTGGTTTCGTACTTTCTGTGTTCTCTTTATTCTTTGTTTTCTGATGATAAAAGAGCTTTATGTGGATATTGTAGAAGAACTGATGAGTCATAAGGTTTGCAATTTCATTTCCCCCCCCAGCTCTTCTTATTGTTTTTTTCCTGATGGTCACATCTCCCTCTTCCTTTCCGCCTTGCCTGTCCTCTGCAGGCGCAGCAGGACGTGCTGTGCCTTTAAGAAGTGTGGTTTTTCAGAAGACTAATTCCTCAGCTTTGGCATGTGTTGAGGCATGCCCTAAGTTTTGTGGTGTGGTTTATGAAAAACTAAAGTGCATTTGTCTAGGGAGGTTTTTAACTCCTTTCTGCCATCACTTCACCTCTTTGTTCTCCGCTTGCAGCGCGTACACCAGTCAGCATTTCCAGAGGAATTTCTGCTCCCTTCTCCAAAAGAGGAGGGGAGATAAAGTGAAGTAGTGGGTTTGTTTGGGGTTGGTTTTTTTCCCCCCAATTAAAATTTATATTTATTGACTTGGGTTTTGCACGGCAAAGCTCTGGTGGATAAAGCTGAGGTAGCAAATTCTCTTGCTGCTGATACCCTCCCACTGGCACCGGTATCGCTGCAGCGTTAACCTGCCGGTGCAGTAGCAGAGCGGTGTAGCCAGAGACACGCTGACCCGTAGCAGTCACAGTGTTGGCAGCTTTAGCATGAATTTCATATACTGTGAATTTCTTCATGCTCCCGTTCATGAATGTTACTTTTTTCTTCCTTTCCCATCTCAGCATAGTCAAAGAGAAACTTGTAAGGAGATGATATGATTGTACTGTAAAAATGAACATAGCGTTAATGTGAATAAAACAGTGGGGGGTTTTCTTTTATTTCTTTCCTTTTTTTTTTTTTTTAAGAAAATCTCATTCTTTTGAAGCAGAGTGTATTTTTTTTTAGCATTTGCTAGGGGCTGCAATGCAGTCTTTAAACCATGGCTCCCAGTGAGAATGTTGTTGCAGGCATTACAGGCATACCAGGAGGTAACTACGGAGTTACCCTTGGTGATTATTTTAAAAGCCGTGTTTGCTACGAGGTCCTGGATCTGTATACCAGCATTGTCTTGTAATAACAGCATCAATCCTCTTGGGCTGTCAGCCTATATTCGTGTACCTGTACGTTGTTTTGTGCCTCCAGATAGCAAGTCAGTCCAGGTGAGCAGAATTCCTCTCTGTCTCCAGCACCGTGGCGGCTCCGGGACTCACTCTGCAGTCACCCGCAGGACGTGGGCCCCACAGATGAAAGAACGGTTTCTAGTAGAGACAGGCCTGTTTTTATGAGGAGAGATGTTGGAAGGGAAGGGAGGGAGCAGGAGGTAGGGCTGGATGTGCCTTCCACACTGAGGTGCTTGTGTGGCTTTGATTAAATCACTTAACCTTTGAGCTGCAGGTTTCGTGTGAGTGAAATAGTGGCATTAGCACCGTGCGCGGCATGCTGGGATTAACTGAATTAACGTAACAGTACTTTACAGTCTCAGCTCTGTAAATGTGCTGAGTGCAGTTGTTCTGTTTAAGAAGCTTGTAGTGCTTGTTATTGAGCCTACGGGAGGGCCCCCGCCAATCCCCTGTCCTCCCCTCCCTCCCAATTAGTCCGGTCAGTGCTCTTATCCCTCTCCATGACCAATAGCGAGCAATCTCTGCCGCTTAGCCTCTCGATCTCCAAGCGGTGCTGTACTGCGACAGCTCTCCTCACGGGTGGCTCCGGAGGAGCGGCCGCACGACCAGCCCCGGTGAGGAGCTCTGTCTTCTGCGCCACCCCGGGCCCGAGGCGTGCCCGGCTGCCCCGTCCCTGCAGCCGCCCCCCGGTAGCGTGCTGGAACGGGAGGTCGAGGTCCTGGGATCTCTTGACGTCTCCACCACCTGGCCGTGAAGTTGCCTGGGCAAGTCACGTCACCTTTCTCTTCTTCCCTCTTCACGCCGAAGTGCGGATCGTAGCTTTTCCCTTCGTACCCAGGAGCTGCTCGGGTTGAATTAATGAATGCCGTGAAGTCAAGGATGTCCGTGGACGCACAGCACAATGTAAATGTGAAGTATCGCTCTGTAATTATGGGTGGAGGTAGCCCTTGTTGAGAGTGATTTATTTTCTCATAAATCAACATTTGATCTGGTGAAATCATAGGAAAGAGGAAGAAGCATAGCAAAAGCCTGTCCTGTTACCTCAATCTGAAATTTTTCAGGAAGCTGGAAGGCTGCCTCTCCCATGTGGTTTGTGCATGCGTCGACTCTGAATCTAGTACTGGTTACTGAGATTGATGGGGTGGCATAAAAATAGTCTGACTTCTATAGGTGTAATATTTCAACATACAGACAGAAAGAGCTCTTTTTTTTTTTTCTTCTCTTGGGATTCAGCCTTTTACGAGGAGGCAGAGTACTGCTTTTTGCAGCGTTGTCTGACGTATCCAAGGTTGACACAGCAGCTCCTTGGGTTCAGTCAATTAGCTAGTTGGGGATTTTAGGAAGAAAAGCAGATGAAATGGTATTATGTAGCTGCTGACATACTGTCATCATCAAGGTACAGTTTATAAAGTCTCCGGCGCTGCTGTGGGATCAAAGAGTTAAAAATTCCAAGGGTTTAATCCAGTATAATAACATTTTGCAAGGCCGATCAAATTCACAGCAAGTGAGAAGCAGAAAAGCAACTGAGCGAGTAGGAAAATGAAATTAGATGGAATTATATGGGCACAGGTTTATCTTAACTAGTTGTTTCACTTAACGGAGGAGACGCACGTTCATGTGAGCCCTCAGCAGACGCTCACCCGGAGTTGGGCTCCCCTGCCCTCGCGGGCTGCGTTCTCCCCAGGAACGGAGTGCCCTTCATCCGCTCGGAACAAAGCAGTGTGCTGCTGGATCTATTTTTGGTCGCTGATTTGTATGCTGTAGAAGCCGTCTCATTCCTTAGAATACAGCCATATATTGTTGTGTTTGTTTTCCTTTTGCTGCTGCGTACATAGTGGATTGTTGTTCGTTTGTTTGAAGGATTTAAACATCTGGAAGAGGCCAGGGATAGCGATGTCTTTGTGTAGAGGTTAGAGGGGAGCTGCAGGTCCCTTCCGAAGTGACACGTTACGTGGCATCTACAGTGATGTTCGTTTGTATACTCGGGGGTTTTGGTGTGGGAAGGACAGTCGATAGAACACTCGTGCAAGCAGCTGGATGAAACCGCTGCTGCTCAAACTAGCACAAGGTAAAAATGGATTTATTTCCCTAGGTGGTTCTGCAGCTGGTTCCCATGGAGGTAATAACCACATGTAAATTTTGGAAGTAAGTACTTACATGCAATAAGCTTAGCTGAGTTTGGGTGAGTAGCGAGAGGAATCAGTTTTCACTGAAATGTGTCAGTAAACGATGCACGCAGGGCAGATCCTGCCATAGAGACTCAGTTCTCCTGTATTACAGCTTTGCCATGTTAGGTGGACACGAACAAATTCAATTAGAGCCTGAATCTAGATAATAGGTTATCACAGATTGAAAGAGTAAGAGGAGAGGGGAGGAGGGAAGAAAGGGTCGGTTCTATATTGCAGCCCCTTTCCCAGGAGTGGAAGGTGACTGCCAGGAGCCCTCCCGGCTTTTACCCGACTATTTGCAGACCAGTGCCGTAGCAACAGAAGAGCAGCTAGTACGCTCTGGCTCAGTCTATTGCAAACAATTTCTTTTCTGAGAAAGCTAATCACTGTTTTGTTACATTACTTCCCAGCAGATGAGCCAGGCGCTCCTGAATTTAAACAGAACCACAAGTGAGTGACAGCGTGCTAAGCATGGGCTGGAGTCTTGTAGCAGCATATCCTTCAGCTCCAGTGCTGCAGTCAGAGAGAGAAAGATTTTTCCTTTGAAGATAAGACACCTGGGGCTTTTGTAGAAATTAAGTATGCCCCAAGTCGTGCAGCTGTTATCTTGATTTAAAAAAAAAAAAAAAAAAAA